TTGTCGCCCTGTTGATGATGTCAGCTACGCGGTTTAGTCGGATGCGGTTTAGTCGAGCGCGGTTTTGTGGTGGAACCAAATATACGAGGTGCAATCCCGTTCTCGTTTCCGATGCACCCACCCAAGGGGTTAGGTTTTGTTTTTTTCAGACTGTAAACGTGGATGCCAATATAATAACGAGATACAGAGCTAGCCCACAATTAGTCCGATTTCCCCCCCCTCTTCACTCTTTATCCTCTCTTATAAAACAAAGACCAGCTTGTGACACCAACGTTTTGCATTTGACGCCCAGATACCATTTCCGGCACCAGTCCTGTCTTCGTTTTAACAGCTCAGAGAAGCGTTGCCAATTTTTTTTACTACCGGTTCGGGTGTTCACATTCGTGCTCCCACACGACCCTTCTGTGCATGCGCAGAAGGGTCGTGGCGGGTGGGCGCAGCCTCCCGCTGCCTCTACTACTGGTTCAGCCGATCCGGGCTGATCCAGCAGCAACGCACCTCTGATGTAGTTCCTCCCGCCAGCTGACTTGACAGTATTAAATGAATGTGGCGATTTCCCCATAATTTATTATTGTGTGCCTGGGAACGGAAAGGTGGCAGGTTTAAGAAAAAGAGCAGCTTTTGATTCTGGAGTTCTTGGTGGCAGTAGACATTCTGTTTGAAGCCCCATTATTCTGTTCCGGCTCAGTGGCTTGTACAACTGTTCTCACCACATTTGAAAACAGGACAATTCCACGCGTTTTCTTGTCTCTCTCTGAAGAAGAGAGTTGGCTTCAAGATGGGCCTATGAACTGCCAGATGCTAAACCCACTCCGCAGTTCTTGGGTGTCTCTTGAAACTTATTTCCAAGGAACCCCGTATCTTTTTTTTTTGCAAAGGAAACAAACCCTGGAAACAATGCAAGTTCTAATTTTCTTTTTGGAAAGATTCTCCATTGACTTTTGAGAGCATTTGGCATGAATTCTATACAGGACCAGCGAAACCTGAGATGCATTCAAACACTTTGAACCACATGTCGGACATTTTGAAATGCAATGTATAGTTTTACTGCACTTTTTTATTGCTATGTTGAGAAAAATTAAATCCTGGGTTGGTGGGGGTGGGGGGAATTGAATTCGAGATTTTCCAGAATTTGGCAGGAAGCGACGCGACGGAGAGAAGATCTATGAATATGAATAGATATCTATCTATTGTGTTGATGTATAATGCCAGGCTGGGGCAGACAACCGATATTTTATTACGACGTTAATCAGAATCGTCCACTGACTTCGATGATGCTCTGTTTTGTATTAGCACATTGTTTCGTATAAGTGAATAATATTCCTCATCCTGGTCATTATGCATATCACTTTGGTATTATGTCTTATGCACTTAACAGCATTGGAATTGGTCTTACATTTTATCGAAAGAACACTTTTGTTCTATTTCATTTTCAATCAGGCGATAGCATTCCCGTGCTTGGGTATGCCCTGTGCAACTATGTTTGGTGAAAGAACTATGAGCAGTGAAAGCAATTCGAAGATATATTTTTTATCACTAAACCTTCGAATGATAAAGGAGGAGAGCCTGATACTGATATGTGCAATAGCATCCAATGGAGGTCAAGGCAGTTAGACATAGAATTCAAGCCCACCGTATCTTTTTCCATTGATTTCAACTCTCCTTTTTAATTTCCCTTGTTGATGATGATGATGTCGTAAAATTGCTCCCGGCTGATGTTTTCTTACTGTTCTGCCAAAGTAATGCTGTTTTGTATTGCTCCAGAATTTTTATGTGTTAATAAAAAATGTATAACATGTTCTCTCAGTTGATCCTAGTTAAACTAAATCCACATTGCAAATGGAACTGAGGCACATGGGTGAATGCTGTTTGCAGAGTGGACAAGTGCAGCTTGTCGATCAGAAGGTCGACAGTTCGGCGGTTCGAATCCCGAGCACCGCATAACAGAGTGAGCTCCCGTTACTTGTCCCAGCTTCTGCCAACCTAGCAGTTCGAAAGCATGTAAAAATGCAAGTAGAAAAATAGGGACCACCTTTGGTGGGAAGGTAACAGCGTTCCATGCGCCTTCAGTGTCTAGTCATGCTGTCACATGACCACGGAGATGTCTTCAGACAGTGCTGGGT